TCCATTTGGCTGTTAATTATTTCTAGGGTAGAAAATGGGTACATGGTACGTCCTCGAAGCTCTAGAAGTATGGCCTAAGAACACAAATTAAGAAATGAATATTTAACAACTGAAAGAGAGCTAATGCTTAAATATGGTACTCAAAGGTACATTATTTCAACATTATTGTTCCAATTTTCATTTAACTTTAGTGGCTTAGTTGTGGTTCTGCCCAGAGTTGGAGAGCTCCATTGATTCAGCTGTTGCCATGTCTTGGTCTAGGATTCTATGATTTTCAAAAACTTTAACTTACCCTCAATGGCCAAATGAAAAAAAATGCTCCAAGTTACTAATAATTAGAAAAAAATGAAAATTAGAACAATTCTGAAGTGCTACTTCATACCTATCAGATTGGCAAAGTTGATTAAAAAAAAGATTACAAATGTTGGAGTTGCTATGGGAAAATAAGCATATTAATGCACTTTTGGTGGAGATATGAATAGGTCCAGCCATTCTAGAAAATAATTTGGAACTGTGACCCAAAAGTTATCAAGCTGTGCATATCCTTTGACCCAGTAACACCTTTAGTAGATGTATTCCAAAGAGATCAAAGCAAGAGGAAAAAGCTCTCCTCTCTCCGCCTCCCCCCTCCCATACAAAAATATTTACAGCAGTTCTTTTTGTAGTAGCAAAGAACTACACACTAAGGGATATCAATCACTTGGGGAAAAGCTGAACAAATCACATTATGTGAGGATAGAAATGATAAAATGGGTGATTTTAGAGGAATCTGGGAAGACATGTATGAACTGATGCAAAGTGAAGTGAGTAGAACCAAGAGAACAATTTTTACAAAAAGACAAAAAACCTTAAGAACTCTGATCAGTGCAATGGCCAACCACGATCCCCGAAGATCAGTGATGAAAGATGCTTCTGACAGAGAGGTGGTGGACACAAGATGCAGAATGAAGCCTATTTCTGGACATGGCCAATTGCTTGATTATGCAGAATTGCATTTATTACAAAAATGTTCTCTTTTTTTCCAATGGTGGTGAGGTAGGAGTAAGAGAAAATAAAATTTGATAATTGAAAAAAATTTAATAAAATCAAAAAATTAGGTGTCCTCCCTCATCGTTGGTCTCCTGGAATTATGATTGGTCATTGTGTTGATTAGAATTCTTTTGTTTTTATTTATTTTTAATTTAAAAAAATTTTTTTAAAAGAGGCAATGAGGGTTAAGTGACATGCCCAGGGTCACACAACTAGCTAGTTAGTAACTGTGTGAGGCCAGATTTGAACTCAGGTCCTCCTGACTCCAGGGCCAGTGCTCTATCCACTGTGCCACCATTGATTAGAATTCTTAAGTCTTTCAAGGTTGTTTGCCTTTATAATGTTGTTGCTATTGGGGTTTTTTTAAACCTCAGTGTTTTGAATCATTAAAAAAATTAATCTTTCATGCCAGTGCAAAAATGTGCTTCCCAATCACTGTTCAAAAATCTTTACTCCAACTGTGGGTCAAGGAGGTATGGCAGAGGAAGGTTCTGGGGAAACAGCCTTCATGTATATAGAGGTAGAAGGGTCATAGGATAACAAGTTTAGAACTAGAAAAGACCCTTATCTAGTCCAATCTTTCATTTTACAAATGGAGAGGCCTATAGAGGTGAAATGATTTGCCCAAGGTCACACAGATAATAAATGTCAGAGGCAGGTTTCTAGTGGGTTTAGATCTGTGCAAGTGGAGGGCATACCTATAAACACATTGAAGTGCCATTTTTGAAGACAAGAAATAGGATGTAGAAATAGAGAGAGGACTTTAGAACACTGGACGATGACCAAATGGAAATATCAAAATGCACCAATAACATTCATGTGGTAGCAAAATAGGATCTTGGGGTTAGAGTTGAAAGCAATCATCATTAGGGTCAAGGCATCCAAACTGCTCATTTTACAGATGAGGAAACTGAGGGCTAGAGAGGTTAAGCATTTGCCTAAGGTCCAAGAAGCAGGAACAGGATTCTATTCCAGAGCTAATATGCTTTCTATGACACCCTGTTGCCTCAACCCTGTACTACATAGCTTTGTGAGTATTTGTATGGAAATATTTCCATCTCCTGGGATCAGAACAAAAGGGCAGAATTTGTAAAGAAATACATTGTGGTAACAGAAAATCACCATTGTTAGATCACCACCCTATCCTGATATGGGAGGTTATTTAAAACCACAAATCATAAGAGCATGTAGACCCTCTCTGAGCATCTTAGGGATACAGAAACCCAAAGGCTGTTTCAAGTCAGAAGTTTTGGAAATGAAAAAGAGGTTGTGGCTTTGTAGGGGGAATTGAGGGGTGGGTTTTTTGGGAGAAAATTATATGTGGGTTAGATATAGGGTTTGGAAATATAACTTGGTCAGAAATAAAAAAGGCTCCTGTAACTCTTTAACTATGGAGTGGGTCTAGGAGGGCTTTTTAATGAAAGGATATCCCCAGTTGTTGAGTGCTAGATTGGATTTCTGTTTGATGGAATAGCTGATGTGGCACACCAGCTCCAGATGCTAAAAGCCTGCCATGCACAAAATGTACCCAGCTGAGTTCAACAGAGCCTAGTCAGCAGACAGGCAAGTGCCAGGTGCAGCCAAAGCAGGGTGGAGAACACTGCACAGAAACAGTAGTCAAATCCTTGCTGTGGCCTCAGTTTCACAGACTTGGACTGCAGAAATGGACCAGCATCCGTGGCAGCATCCCACTTGTAAAGGAGGCTGTTTTTAGAGATAATGTTTATTATTAAAAGCCGTAAAGATACAGAAAAACTTAAAAAAGGATATTTTCTTTGTTATGTGAGATGGCTCTCTGAGAAGGGAAGATATATGGAATATTTAGATTAAGAAGGCATAAGGAGAAGAGATGTCAATAAAAATCTATTTAAAAAAATAAAAAAAGACACAAATAAAAGACCTTGAAGGTGCCAATGTTTCCAGGGACCCCAGCGGCCAGTCAAAATAATAGAATGCCAGATATGGAAGGGACCTCAGAGGTCATCTAGGACAAAATAGGCATGCATAGAAATCCCCTCTACAGTAGAGTCATTCTTGAGCGATGGAGGGAAGCCTCTAGGAAGTCCATTCTACTTTAGAGAGTTCTCATTATTGGGATTTTTCATTACTTCAAGGGATTGCTAACTTTTCTATATGGATTCTCCTTCCAGTGATGCAGATCCCAACTCCTTTCCTCATAGTTGGGAATTTGAATCTACACATTACTGTCTGCTTAGATACTTTGGCCTCTTAGCTCATTAACCCGCTTGACTCCCAGGACCTGCACCTTCAATGCACCTCAGCCAAATGCAGTGATGCTCATACCTTTGGTCTCATCATCACCCTTACCTTTTTTTGTCTCTGTGACAGGGGATTCTGAAATTGGTTATTCTAATCCCAATCACCTATGCTGCCTTCTCTCCCTTGGCCTCACTCCTTCCAAACTTTAAAATGTTCTTTTTTATTGTGAATTTAATAATTATCAATAAACACAAAGAGCAAAGAAGATTATATAAGAAGATTGTGAGTTTGTATTTATACATACATATATATACATACATACAGAGAGAGAGAGAGATTGTTTATTAAGTAGTATAAGGAGATAGGAACTAGACTTATGATTTCATTGGTATAAAGAACAACAAATTCTAGAGAGCCTAGGATACTGAGAGTCTAAGTGATTTGCCAAGGGAAACACAGCCAGTATGTATCAGGCAGGATTCTGGCTTCAGGACCAGCTTCCTGTCATGATACCATTTCTCTCTTAAGAAACGTGTGTATTGTACACAGTGACAGTAACATTGTGCAATGATCAGTTATGAGAGACTAAACTCTTCTCAGCAATGCAATGATCCAAGACAATTACAAAAGACTCGTGAAGGAAAATGCTGTCCACATCCAGAGAAAGAACTATGGAGTCTGAATGCAGATCAAAGCATACTATTTTCACTTTTTTTGTTTTTTTCTTTTTCATGTTTTTTTTTCCTTTTTGCTCTGGTTCTTCTTTCACAACATGACCAATGTGGAAATAGGTTTAATATGATCGTACATGTATAACCTATATCGGATTGCTTGCCATCTTGGGGAAAGCAGAGGGGAGGGAGGGAGGGAGGATTGGAAAAAAATCTGGAACTCAAAATCTTATAGAAGTGAATGTTGAAAACTATCTTTACATGTAATTGGAAAAAATAAAATACTATTAAGGGGAAAAAAAGAAATATGTGTATATACATATACACACATGTATATATATATATATACATACACACCAAGATATGTACACATACTTCTGTTTCCTCCTAAGTCCCCCTATCTATAAGAAGTCACATCTCCTATACCATATCACGGGCTTAGAGGTCTCTCACCCAATAAGGAGACACAGGCATCACAGGGCTGTCTTTCACAGTCAACCTTCTCCAAAGTGGGGTTATACAGATATCAGGCAAATTTTTCAGAAGAAGGAAGAGGAGAAGGAAGATTTAGAGTCCCCAAATCAGAGTATGTGGGAGAGGATCCAGGAATATCCAGGCTCATTTAGACCTGCACCGAGGCCCACAGGGCAATACCATCCATGTAGCCCTAAAAGGAAAAAAGAATTGGGCCCAGTGGGAACTGAGGGCCATCTTGAACTTTGGCAAATAGCATGAGTCACAAGAGAGGTTTCCTTGATACCTTCCAGAAAAAGGAAACAAATTTTTCTGTCTGTTGAGGGGTTTCAGGATGAAGCCATGTATGTGTTTTAATAAAACCTGTCCTGTACCCAATATCTTGTTAGCCCAAATTCTTGTAAAGGATCTGAGACAACTTAGAGAGATATAAGTCAAATTATGGTGCTTCCATATGAAGCCCTGAATATAGACATGAGGCATAGAGATTGTTATTGAGAGAGGCACCCAAGATTACCCTATTGCCTATCGTCAGAGGTTGCAGCCCAATTGGCATACCAGTTATATAAATATTTTTAAAACCCATAACTTACTAGGCTTGCAGCATCTGAATTTTTCAGCTTCATCCCTCAGATGCAAAGTTCTCTTCCCAGCATGTAACGCTCATCTCAAATTGTCTTGAGCAAAGGTTCAAGAGAAACTTCTGGGAAGCCTGTTGGGGAGACGGCAGGGCTTACGAGCATCAGCTGAAAGGTAAGAAAAAAAACAAATACTGCCACTACAAAGAAAACCTCCCGAGTATATTTTGTTGTGAGAATGAGGAGTATTGCAATGAAATAATATGGAATCATGCAGAGTGCAATCAGCTGTAGCCTTGAATTAGTTATGCGTGAGTAGGTGAGGTTGGAGACAGGAGACCTGAAAGGGCACGTCCTTGAGTGGGGTGGACTCTGGGAAAATCGATTCTTTTCAGAGAGGAAAGAGGCAAGCTGGAACACTCCTTTACCTTCCTGAGAATCTGCTCATTCTCTATGCTGGTTTTCAAAGCCTTCTCGACAGCTGGGCACACAGAACTCTGAGACCGCACACAGTGCTTTTCATACGTTTTCAGGAACTTTGTGAGAATAGAGACAATAGATAAGAAAGCTCCTCTAATTTTTTATTTTTCTTTCTTTGTCCTTGGCATGTTCTAAAATTCTGTGAGAATCTTCTTGATGGCTGTAAGCATTTGCTCATCCTGAAATATGAGTAGCAGATTTACTATTACTAAATTCAATTATACATTCATTAAACAAAGGGAAACAATCACATCTAGAATCAGAGGTAGTTGGTGTTCAGTCATGTCCAATTATTTGTGACTGCTTAAGGGGTTTTCTTGACAAAATTACTGGAGTGGTCTGCCGTTTCCTTCTCCAGCTCATTTTACAGATGAGGAAACTGAGGCTAGCAGGGTTAAGTGACTTTCCCAGGTCACACAGCTAGTAAGTGTCTGAGGCCAAATTTGAACTCAGATCTTCTTGACTCTAGGCCCAGCACTCTATCCACTGCCCTAGAATCAGAGGATGTGAGTTTAAATCCTGTGTCAGCCACTTACTGACTGTGTGGCCTATGACAGGCAACTTTGCCCCACTGGGCTTCTCCTCATCTGAAAAATGAAGGGATTGGACAACACGATTTCTAAACTTCCTTATGGCTCTAACCCCATGATCCTATTCTTTGCCCCACATGAATATCATTGGTTTGTTTTGATATTGCTCTGTTTGGTGATAGCCCAGTCTGCTGGATTCACCTCCATATTCTATTTTTTCGCTCATAAGTGATGCTTGTACCCCAAAGTGTCTATGAGTATGCCTTCCGCTTATGCACAACTCAACCTGCTTCTGAGACTTACTTGACCTTGGTCAAATCATATCATTTCTCTGGGCCTCAGTTTCCTCATTGGTGAAATGAGAGGACAAGGACCAGACTAAATGACATGGGCATAAGGTCTTTTCCAGCCTTAAATTTATAACCTCATGCTCTAATCCCTACTCCATGAAGGATATTTCCCCAGAACTTTCCTCTGTCCTCCTCCCGTGGTCCACAGATAAAGGGAGCATTTCTAAACAGTGGTTGGGAGATAAGCTATGGTATTGACCTGATGGGTAGGTCAATTTTTTTTAGCCATACTTTCTTTTTATTTGATTTTTTTTCTTTCCAGGGAAAACATGCATTTTACAGTATTTGTAAACACATCAATATGTTTACACTGATTTGTGAACTTAGTACTTTTTGGAATGTTGTAATGTCATCAAACCCAATGTAATATGCAACGATAGCAAAAGAGAGAGGAATGCATTAAATTGGGACATCTTATGGTTAAAAATACTCATAGCAGCAGCTTTTGAAAGATGATTTTATTAAATGAAATCATTGCATTGGTCATTTTATTGTTATAGTAAAACAAGACTTTTATTATTATAACACCTTTCTTTTCTGATTTCAACTGTCTTATTCTGCTCAATCATTTTAAGTTTTCATCTGGACAAATATATATACGTATGTGTATATATATATGTATGTGTATATATATATGTATGTATATATATATGTGTGTATGTGTGTATATGTGTGTATATATATGTACATGTATACACACATATACATACATATATACATACACACACACGTATATGCTCTTTGGTGAGGCAATTAGGGTTAAGTGACTTGCCCAAGGTCACATAGCTAGTGAGTGTTATATGTCTGAGATCAGATTTGAACTCAGGTCCTCCTGACTGCAGGGCTGGTGCTCTATCCACTGCACCACCTAGCTGCCCCGGGACAAAAGATTTAAAAATAATCTGGAGTACATTTCTTTGTGCTGTGATCACAGTGAGAAATACAGAAAATAAATTTCTATGACATCAGGCCTACTTGTCTATTTTCATCATTAGAAAATCTTAAAAGGTAATATTTCTGAAGAAAAATATTTTACAGACACAACAAATATTTTTAAAATTGGGAGTATTCATTTCTGATGCCTTTAGGAAGGTAAGTGAATACTGAATCAATGCATTACATGTCAAAAATTGGTGTACCTGTATACGTAGTACATTCTCAGATGATTTAGCATTTTAATGGCCACTGCAGATATTACACAGATGACAGGTCAATTCTTTTTTTAAATCATAGGATCCTAGTGCAAGAATTGGCATCAAATGCCTACTCAGTGGAGGTCTCCAACTCTGCAGGTCCACAACAAAATATATGAGACAACTACATGAATATCAAGGTAATAATGTTAAATCAGCTCAGCCCCACATTTAAGCACGAAATCTATTTCAATCGCTTAATAGTTGTTTGTATCGATTTTCATTGATGTTTAGTTATTTGTGTTGAGTTAATGTTGCAGCTAATAAAAAAAATGAAAGAGGAAATCCTGAAAGTAATAAAGCAATCACATCAATACGGGTTATATATTAATAGCTTTCTACTTATCTCTATTAAAAAAAACTAGCTTGATTCTCTTCACAAGGAGGATTCGGTGGGGTTCTGACAGGTGATGCAATTGTCAATTTTGTTCTTTAACTTGTTATTCAGTAAAGAGGTTTCTGTACCTTAGAAATCTTATTGGAGAAGATCTGAACCAATAATACCATGAGAACAAAGGACCTAGAAGGATCCCTAATCTGACCTTTGCTTCTTCATGGCTAAGGGTGCTTATTAATTAAAATAAAGGGGAGTCCACCAGGTAGAGCACTGGTATGTGTCCCTTTCTTGGTGGAGCACCTCAGGGAACCAGGCAAAGACTCAGGCTGTTCAGAAGAAGAAAGAGCCAAGGATGCACTCTTCTGAAAGCTGATACCTTCCTTCCTTCTCTTGATTCCTTCTCTTGATACACCTTGTCCCTAAGAAAGAAGAGTCATTCTTGCTCTGAATCCTGTTCTGAAAGGCATTGACCCTTTCCAACTTATCTAGCCTTGACAAGTGCCCTTCATGATCCCATACTTCAAGTAGGTGAGATGATGTCCTAGCTAGTGGTCATCCCCCCCCCCTTTTCATCCTTCCCCCAAGGCTCCCTTTTTTATCCAACAATTTCACTTTCTTCATTTCCAAAGAGAATGACAAATAGCTACCCAGAGCCAGGAGAATTTTCTTAGTCACTCAAGTCCTTTTTAATTTTTCTTCCTCTTTCTAATGTGCATTGCACTATTCTCCTATCTAAGCTGGAATAAGAGGGGTAGGGATCAGACAATCAAAGATCCAGAGCTAGAAAGAGATCATAGTGCAATGCTTTCATTTCACAAACAGAACTGAGGCCTGTGGAGGTTAACTGACTTGCCCAAGGTCACCCAGGCAGTAAGCATGAGAAACAGGATTTGAATCCAGATCCTCTGACTCTTTTCCTCTTATTTTTTCCCACTGTACCAGAGAGTAGGGTACAATTAAAAGACTTTGTTGGTTCAGTTGGTAACCCATTGGCCTTTTAATCTGAACCTCCAAGGGTTCAAGTCCTTACCCAAAGGGAAGTTTTTTTCTATCTTATATTTTAGTCATCTATCAGTTATCCTCTTCTGTATCTCACTACCCATGGTACACACTCCTAAAGTATCTGTTGAACAAATGAAGAAGGAATTCTTCTGGAACCCAGAGACCTAGGTTCTAATCCCACCTCAAACACTTAATAGGTAGATGATCATGAGCAAATCACTTAGCCTGTGAGAGCCTCAGTTTCCTTTCCTGTAAAACTGAATGGAGAGTACTTGTACTAGCTGTGTCAAGGAATGATTATAAATAAACTGTCTTGCAGACCTTAAAGTGCTGTAGAATTGTGAGTTATCATAGACTTAGAATCTTAGGGGCCATTGAAGCCCAATCCCCCATTTTACAGATGAGGAAATAGAGGCCAGAAAAGCTAAGTGACCAAGTCACTTACTGAAGTGTTTGAGGTTGGATTTGAACCTCTAGTGCCCTTTCTGCTTTACCGTGCTTTAATGAAGTTGGAAAGCACAGTCACCATTCTGTTCCAGTTCTGTATATATATAAAACATTAAACAGGACACAAAAATATATCAGCCATTCAATTCTGATTTCAACAAACAATTGATTGTCAATAATATTCTCCCATCCCGTGGACCCAGAAATGAACAAATAGTACCTGATTCTCTACTGAAATGTGGTTCCAGTGGAGAAAGTCCCAGCCACGCAAAAGGGCTCCCTTGCTATGTGGTTTCAGTGCCCGTGGAGATAACTGCAGAGGGCTGTCAAGAGTGACAAGCCTCAACTCTGGAGTCTTAACTGAAGCCAAGAATCCCGGCGAGAGGGGAGGGTGAGGCTATTTTCATCCAAGAAGAAGGTTGCGAAGCGATGAGTGCGATGACAAAGCTGTCAGAAACGCGTAGCCCTGAAGCAGATTTCTTCTATAACTCAAAGCTTTAAAGATGTCAGTGACAGAGAAAGAGGAGGAGGGAACATCCAAGAGATAAATAGAAAGGAAAAGGACAAGGGGCAGTTGGGAAAGGGAGAAGGGGGTATGGGGTGGGTTTCTCATACTAAGATTATGACTATCGACCTCTCTTCTGAGTGATACAAACTCTTTTCTTTATATGAGAGAAGCCAAAATACCAAATAGGATATTTTTGTTTCCCAACTTTCACTTTGAATGCATATAGGTGTAACCAAGGCTTTCAGCCCTTCTGTTCAAGGTGGGAATTTCAATTACCCTTGGAGAGAGAGGTTCCTGAGATATCTACCTATGCTGCACCTATACATTTAGATATCCCACCATGTGAAAACATATATTACATGAGGATTTTCTCTTACAGAGATCATGATGATGAGTCGCCATATGTAGTATGGAAATGGAAGGCAAGAGAGGAGATATGGTCATTTTGGGTGAGCAACAAGGGAAGAGCCAGTTTGGAATGGACCTTGAGGGAAACAGGAAGGAGGAAGAAAAGGTTAACTTTGGCGGAGGAGGGCGGGGCATGATACTGCTTTCTTTTTCCTGGTAGGTTCAGAATGTTTCTTTTCTAATTGCTCATTCACAACAGAAAGGTTTGATCCGACAGAATGAGTCTCCATGGAGTAGATTACAAAGCAGATTGATTTTATGTGTGTAACCAGAGAAAGAAATTAAAATGGTATCCTTAGAACATGGTAAGTGTCTGGCTATGGAATGCAAAAATAATCCAATCAATCAGCAAACATTTATTAAGACCTTGGCTCTGTTCCAAGCATTGTTCTAAGACCTGAGGATACAGAGAAAGGTAAAAACTTGCAACAGAGATTCTTTATCGTAGGGGTTAGCCACTTCTTTAAACTGCCTTTCTTTCATTTGGGATCTTGGATCCCAGTGGATCTGTGTAGGAAAAAAAAGGAAAACAAGAAAGTAATGGTAACTACTAACTTAGTAACTGATTGAAGCATTCTCCTCAATATGTGTGCCCAACTACACCTATTACCTATATGTGTGTTTGCTTTTCTCACTGGTAGTACATATCTTTGTAGAAGAATGTGCCTCAGGTTTCTGAGGGAAATGATCTATTACCATTTTCCTGCTCTGCATTGAGTGCTTTTGATTTTGAACGATTTGTCTTACAACTGACTTCAAAAGGTAAACACATTGGTGGGGGCTCATGAGCTATGGTTTTGAGTAGATAAAGAAAGAGACACAGAGGGGGGGCAGCTAGGTGGCAGTGGATAGAGCACCAGCCCTGGATTCAGGAGGACCTGAGTTCAAATCCGACCTCAGACACATAACACTTACTAGCTGTGTGACCCTGGGCAAGTCACTTAACCACATTGCCTAACCAAAAAAAAAAAAAGGAACCACAGAGTACCATGAATATGGAATAACTTTGTCTGGTGGCCCATTATGAGTTAGGAGGCTTCCCAAGTGATATAGACACATTCTACTTTCTAAGTAGATTTAGCAGTGAGACTTGGAAGATGGAGATGGAAGAGAAGTATAGTTGAAGAGAAAGATGAGTTAAATAGGCCATGATGATAGATAATGCTCCTACATCCTTATGATGTGGCAGATTCAGCCCTTCATGAGAAATTTGACTCTCCCTACTAGGAAGGTTCCATTTGGGAACTGGCAGAGAGTGATGGAATTTTCAGGACCAAGAAATGAAAGAAAGACAGCTGCTAAGGGAAATGACCTCTGTGTCTCAGCTTGCTGATACTGAAGGGAATTTCCTTTCCTCTACTGAGCAGATAATTGAAGTAGCAATCTTTTCCACGGATGAGCCTAGTGCTCATGCCTGGCTAGGGGCACGATGCAGGCCACACTCCTCTGGACCCTGGTTTCTCTGACAGAAAACAGAATTCCTGGGCCTAACCAAATTCCAGGTCAAAAAGGCTAGGCTTCAGGATCCTGCAGACTCACGTGCCCTGATTATGCCCATTATACTTAATTGGGTCGCAGGTGATTAGAAGGAAAAGCTTGCCTCTGATTTATCTTGTATATAACTGGTATGTACATGACCCCATTTGGGGTTTTCTTGGCAGAGATACTGAAGTGGTTTGCCATTTCCTTCTCCAGCTCATTTTACAGATGAGGAAACTGAGGCAAATGGGGTTAAGTGACTTCCCTAGGGTCACATAGCTAGTTAAGTGCCTGAGTCTTGATTTGAACTCAAGAAGATGAGTCTTCTTGATTCCAAGCCAGGCACTCTATTTACTGTACCACCTAGCTGCCCAAAATGCTGTTATGAGATCTGTTATTTCACCTGAACCAAAGAAGGGGGAAAAAAAAGGAAATAGGAATCAATCATTTAGTAAGCAAGAACTTTGTTAAACACTGGTGATATCAATACGATGAAAGAATCTCTACTCACAAAAAACTTACATTTTATGCAGGGATTCATAACCTGGGACCCAGGAACTTATTTAAATTTTTTTGATAAATGTTTTTCAATATGCTCCACCTTTATGTGCATAATCCATTTAAGAGCATTATTCTAAGAAGGTACCCATAAGCTTTGCCAGACTGCCAAGGTGGGGATGTTCCATGACTCTGAGAAGCTTAAGAATGCCTATTCTACAATAGTGGAATGTGACAGAGAAAAAGAGGAGGGAGCAAGAAGAAAAGAGGTACAGGCATTAAGGGAGTCTTATAGTAGCTCAATTAACTAAGAAGTTGTCAAAGCTGTTGTCAAAGTAATGGTATACTTATAGTCATGGGACCTGGCTGTGCTACTTATTAACTGTGTGACCTTGGAGAGGTCACTTGACTTATCAGGGCCTAAGATTTTTCACCTGTAAAATGAAGGGTTAGGATTAGATGCCCTAAGGTCCTTTCCAGCTCTGTGATTTTTTTGCCACTCACATTTCAACTGCTCTAAAGTACGTATTCTTGACATTAGAGAACATGAAAACTAACACTATTGCTTTCCTTTCCAATAGGGAAACCAATTAATCAATAAGATTTGACTGAGTGACCAATACTACCCATATAAGCTATATCAGAGTGAGCCTAGAGTTCATTAGGTGCTATTCAGAAAAGACCCCTTGGCTTTCATATATCCAGACCCACAGAACATTGAAGACAAACTAGACATTCCAAGGAAAATTGGCTTCAGGACACTACCAGGCCAAGCAGACAGCTACTTCAAACGCAAATTCATGAGAATTCTGTGAAAGGAGAAAAAGATTTCTAGTAACCAGAAGAAGAGATTACCCATTGGTCACATTTTCTCAGCATGAGCCCACTTTCCCCAGGGACCACTTTGAGCAAGAGAAATGTGTACCTTCAGTTTGGGGGAATTAAAGAAAAATAACAGCCTTGCCATACCTGCCATATGTCCTTTCTAAAAGCTGAATCATTCTGGCTGATAATCATTGGAGTACACTGATGGGGGCTTGTGAATGACTACTAGAAAATACCATCTTCCTTAGAGTTGCTTCTAGAACTTCGAAGGTGTAGTAGTAATCCCCCTCCAGGGACCCAAAATACTAATTTGAGTGGAAATGGGGAAAATAGCCCAGAGGAGGAGCTACATTGTGAAGGATGACCTCAGAAATCTGCTAGAAGACCACTCTCCTACACATTTAAGTTCTTACTGTGTGTCAGGTACTGTTCTAGGTGCTAAGGATAAAAAGACAGAAGGAAACAATCCCAAGACTTGGGATGCCCTGTATATGTATATATGTAGTTTCCCATAGAATATAAGCTCCTTGAGGGTGACTGTTTTCTTTTAAGCTATTAAAGCTTAAAATTTTAGTAAGACTTTTCAGACACCCTATTATATTTGCATATAATATAGTTATATAATATCACATATAATTATAATATGTTATATATGATGTACATAATATACAGTATAATTATATTTATATGTTATATATGGTATATGATATATTATAATTATATACGATTTATTATCATAACACATTTTTAAAATTTTTTGTGTTTAATTTTTTCTTAATTACATGTGAAACAATTTTAAACACTTGCTTTTAATTATAATAAATTGTCATACGTTATTTTATAATTATATGATATACATAATGATATTTTTACTTTGTATGTGTTTTCCATATATTTACTTTTTACACAATATGTTTACTTTGAATGTATTTTCCATACATGGAAAATACATACAAAGCAAAACAAGACAGTTTCAGAGGGAGTCAGTAACATTTGAGGGAGTAGAAAATGCCTCACGTAGGAGGTGGCTCTTAAGATGAGCTGTGAAAACTAGGGAATACAGAAGCAGGAGGTGAGGAGGGAGTTTATTAAAGGACTTTCAACACTTGGGAACATCTAATTCAAAAGCTGGAATAGTAGGTTGAGACCAGACTTGACTCAATTAAATGGAGGTTGGCTTTTTTTTTTTTTTTGCAAATCTTAGAAGGCCCTAGAAGTGTGAGCTGCTATTATTAGTTTTTCCATATATCTGTCCCGGCTGTTCGTGAAGCTGCGCTACTCAGAGGTTCAAAACCCAATAAAAAGAGTGAAACAGGACTGAGGCTTTACTGTTGCCTAGCAACAGAGACACAAGATTCCAAAAGAAAACCCAGAGTTTTTGCACCTTCTAAGGCCAGAGACTCCAGTCCCTTGCTTAACACCTCCTATATTTGATATTGAACCTGATCTATTCCCTGCATTCCATGTACTTGCGGATATTCTGTAGCCAAGGGAGAGCTGGTTTCTAACAGTTTCTAATCTGCTTCTAACTGATTGTGTAAGTATCTTTGTCTCTGCTTGTGGGTCTGGTGCCCAAA